GATTTTTACTTTGTGGTCTGTTTTTTTAAGGTATCTACACACTGCCTGAACCAGGTGACTTTCTGGATGAGGTGAGCTACGCAGAGCTGCAGAAGGAGGATGCTCAGAAATTGCTTGAGAAGTATAAGGAAGAAAGTAAAACCGCCCTTCCACCAGAGAAAAAGCCCAATACCAGTTCTGGAAAGAGAGCAATGAATCGGGGGCGAAGTGGTCAACGAGGTGGAATGAACCAATACAATAGAGGTGGCCAGAGAGGAGGGCGCGGTGGATATCAGAACCGTGGCAATTACCGAGGAGGTAGGCAAATTTGTACTTTGCACAGACTTGTACATATAGAGGCTTCATTTCCAGCTGGTTTCTTGCTGTTGAAAAATGTTCACTATTTACCATGTGTTTACAATGTGGAACTTAACCTTTTATTGCTGCCTAGCAGCAACCTGGAAGAGAATGTTTGCATTATTTTTATTTCACCTGTGGGTGCAGCAGTGTCTGCAGGAAAGTGGGGAGTACTAGTTTCTAGATAACTTCTGGGCGTGTCTGTCTTCTCTGCTTCTCCTTAAGGTGTTAACCTTTGGGGTATGATTTCATTTTCCCTGGCATCCTCCAGAGTCTTCCCTTCAGTGTTTATAATTCCTGTGAGCCTCGATTGCTGACTAGTAACAGGGTGGGAACACTGCTGCTACAACTCAGTTTGTTCTTGCTTAACGTCGACAGGTACATTTGCAGCATGAATTGCTGGACACTTCTCGACACAGAATTTTTCTCATCTCCAAGTTTCCAATTCCTGTTTGGTCACAGTTTAGACTGAAATCAGAATGCATCAAACATAAGACCTGGCTAGCTTTTTAGAGTTCATCTGCTTTTTGGGTCACCCCAGAGTCTGTCTTTAGAGTTCAATTTCATGTGTATTCTAGAGAAATATCTTCTGTAATCTGACTCTGTCACACCCTTTTTTTAACAGAAAGAGGCCATTCGGACCATTGTGTCTGTCAGCTCTTTAAAGAACTATTCTATTTGTCCTTTTTTTAAATCTTTTTTCCTTATGAACCCGTGGCTTATTCCTCTTTGAGCTTTGACCTGAAGTATTAATTGGAATTGAAATGTGATCATTTTGACTGTCTTTTCCAAACAGGTTCAAACCGTGGACAGTATAACAGAAGAGGAAACCAGCAAAGCCGTGGCTATGCTCCTAATCAGCGTTTCACTCCAATGATAGGCTACAATAGAGGTGGTTTTATCGAAAGACCCTCTTACAGTGGAAGAGGAGGTTCTTACAACCACAGGGGCGTGGCAGACAACCACAGGGGTCCAGGCAGCAACAGAGGAGGCTATGGACAAGTAATGTACAGATTTTGAATTTTTTTATTTGGCAGCCCAAGACTTCTCAATTATTCCATTCAGTAGGCTCATCATTTTTCTTTTTTAAAAAAAAAATAGGACCCATAAACTTGTTTTAGTTACCAGTAATTTAGTAGCTTCAAACAGATAGTCTGACGTGGATCTTCTCAGCCAAACTTCTGATCCTTTCTTATGTGACTGCTTAATATTTTTGCAGTCATTGCATTTATTGCAAGGAGCATTAAACCTGTGGAAGGAGGTTTTGCTGCAGCTGCAAAGTGCCTAGGCGATACTGCATCTGGAATTCTGTTTGGTTTGGTGTCTGTGTTTTGGAGAAAAAATAGGATATAATTGTGTTAGATATAGTTCATAGAACGTTCACTTGTCTCGTTTTTGGGGTGTGGGGGTTTACCGTGAAGAAATTGTTTTTGTACCCATCAGAGCTTAGTGAAGGCAGTATCATTGAACTTAATGAAGGCAGGATTAGATTTTTGATAAATGAGTTGGGCTGGGGCAGACAGGAAAAATGGGGTTGCGACCACAGTCCGATCATACACGCTCACGATTGAATGGCGAAGCAGGCTAGAAGAACCATATGGCCCACTTCACTTAGTCATGTGTTCCTAATTACATCAATCTTCCTTTTCATTTTTTTGTCCAGTCTTCACTTCCTTCTCCCTTTTCTTACCCTTGTTGCTCCTTTTGCTGAGAGTAACAAAGTCGAAGAGGAAGCACAGGCAATTCTTCTAAACAATTGCAATATATTCGTACTGTATTGTTTTCACTTGCTGATCTTGTAGTGCATTGTAGGGCTTAATCAGCACATTCAACGTGATAAAATAAGCACTTCAGGGCTGTTATAACATTTTGATGTTAAGCCACATGACATGCTATTAAAGCAAATAAATAGATTTTTAAAGAGCCTCTTGAAGGAAAGATTTGAGAAGTTTGGGATGAAATTCCAGGGCCTACGGCCTGGGAAGCTGAAGGCTCCTGATGGAGCAATTCAGATCGGGGATCCTCGACTAGAAAGAAATGAGTGCAGATTCTCTAAAGATATGGAAGCTGGAGAAGATTATGATGGCCAGGCTACCTCAGCCTCGTCATGGTAGTTAACTTTAAGAATAAAACAGCTTCTTTTGAGAAAAAAGCTTTGAAATGGTGACAATCTAATTTTTATACCATTTTTGTTACATAATTTATTGGATACTTGACCAGGATTATGGGTCACCAATTATAAAGTCTGAAAGATTCTTGGAAAAATTGGGTTGCTGAGTCTGTGGAAAATCCTGCTTTGCTTTGTAGTGCATCGTTTGTACAAACTAATGTGCCAGCTGGTTATGCTGCAGGAGGAATGAGAAAATTATGGTGGGCTCACCTTTAGCCTTTGAATGGAATGAAACTTTTTCTGTTAGTTACTCTGCATAGGTCATTCCTGATCAGCACCCCCTCAGCATCATACTGTGGAAAACTGCTTATTTCCTGCTATTGATGCTGCTTGTTCCTTTACAGTCACAATAATTATCATGATATTATGGGTAGATGGGGAAATCTCCCAAGTAGTGGAATTAGACCTTGAGCACTTGGGTTGAAAGGTGCACATCCCACTTTGGCGGGTACATCTTGAATGTCAGGGTAAGTGGAAAACTGTACACCTGCCTGTTGACTAAAATACTTCTTATATTACGACAGAATTTCAGGGGCAGGGGAAATCGTGGCTTCAACCAAGGCTACAGAAATGAAAACTTCCTCCAAGGTCAGGGCTTCAAACAGAACTGGAGCCGTCAGCAGCAGGCAGTAAGTAACAGTTACTTCAAGATAGTGACCTTCAAACAAAGCAGGTTCATCTATAGTCCTGTTTTTAAAAAACACTGGTAATGTCAGGTGTCTGTAAAAAAAAAAAAAAAAAAGTTTTTGCTAATTTAAAAACTGCTTAATATAGTTTTGCGTTTTCTAAAGTATAGAATCATCTGGAGATTTTATTCAAAGCAGTTTTTAAAAATCATTAGATATGTAAAGCAGGTGATTTTCAAATTTAGTTAGTGTTGTGAGAGTGCTGGTGAAGAAATCGGATGCTTGAGTAATAAACTTAATGGAGCACCTTGAAGCAGCTTG